AAAATTTATCAGATTTATTATTTCCATTTAATTTTATAACAAATATAAGTATATTACAGTATAATACAGTAAATAACATGTGACGCTTAAACTCATGAATGAGATAGGCAAGGCAGACAGTCGTAAACTTTTAAACATTAATATCTATTTTTTTGAATTATAAATACTTTCAATTTCATATTAATTTAACACCAATCGGTGCACAATGTTTTTGGTTAACCTGTCTTTAGCTAACACAAATAGATTCGACGGTTTCCCAACACGTGAACACGCAACATATAGTTGCCCATGAGAAAAACATGGATTTTCCAAATCTAAACCACAAATGGACATTGTTTGACCTTGAGATTTATTTATAGACATGGCGAAAGCTAAACGAATTGGAAACTGTAGCCTTTTGAAGGGTATGGTAGAATCTGATGGTATCATCGGAATACGTGGCAGCAGGACCACTTTTCCTTTARACWTCCCAGACAAAATGGTTGCTTCAAGAATGTTTCCGGTGATCTTTTTGATGACCAAACGCGTACCGTTACATAATTGAGGTGGATTCAAATTACGGAGGAGAATAATAGGGGAACCAATCTTTAATCGAAGATTATGTGRTGGCATTCCAGGGATATCTAATGAATTTAAAAATTCAATCGGAAAATTTACACTTTCATTTTCATCAACAACAGTATCGATTGATTTAAAAGACATCAGATCGCCTRGTRACAACTGTTGTATCTGGAAGTTAATTTCGTCAACATCAACGTTTTTGGCTGCCAAAATCGCCTGTTGACTAAGCCATTMATGATTCAAATAATTATTCTGTCAAGATCAGGTTACAGATAGATATTATCGCAGTCGGCCACGGAAAAACCCGAAATACACCATGCAATCATACAAATTTATTAAAAAGTTAATTAAAATATTTAATGTATTAAAAAATTTGAAATAAAAAATATCCTATCTTTTAAGTTGGACCAAATTACACGCGGTGTAAAAAATTTCATCAAAATCGGTAAAGTGGTTTAGGAGTCCATTGAGGACAAACATTGTGACACGAGATTTATATATATTAAGATTTACACGATTTCGTACTTGGTCATTTAATTTATTTTAAAAATATTCGTTATAGGTACTATTGTTAGAAATTATTTATTGTAAAAAACTGTTGTAAATTAAAATAGATTAAATTATGTTCAAATCCACAAAACATTCTTAATTTTAATCTAAATAAAATAATTAATTCTTAATAAAAATGAGAAAAATGATTGAAAATGTTGGCCTATGCAATAGATTTAATACTAGATCTATACCATAAATATTAGATCATTTATCGCCTTAGCGCGATGCATAATATCCATAAAATATTGTTAGTATATGAAACGTTTACTTACCTAGTAACTTTAAATAATATGATTGCATACTTGCATGCTATTATGTTAACGAAAATCCAATTTACGAAAATCATATTTACAGAAGTGCGAATAAACGCTTCCGGGTTTCAAATTAACATCACGCACATCATTGTATGTTATAAAACACACAATCTAGAAAAAAACAGTTTGATTTTTCTAAAGAAAAAAGATAACGTTAAATAATAAAATAATACTAGGTATAATATATTAATATGAAATAGGTGAAAAATGTATTTTCGTGGTGGATTGTAAAACAATAAAATTTTCTCATGAACGACGTTAAATTGAAATTTTTGACGAATTACTATTCCTCAACCACCATTTATTAACATTGACATATTATGTATAATAGCACCCGTCGACTAGTTTTTCAGTGGCAAGACAAGGGTCGACAGCATGCGAGGAAGTATGATAGCTATATTAAATAATTATAAAATAGTGTTCGTAATTTGTATAATATTCAATCGCGCTGATTATTGATATMAGTGATTGGAATAATATTATGAATATTTTAATATATCATTATTGAAATGCAATATGTACTAATAATATATAACCGTATACGTGGTACAATTATTATTATTAGCAATTTTTATCATATATGTGTCACAGCAGTCCAGCAGTGGCTAACCTAGCCAGTAATACTGTTCATCAAATGAAAATGATATGCTTAGATTACCTAATAGTGTAACCGGAACGTGACCTTCCGCCTGTGCAATTTAAAAATTCCTTCCTATTACACCGCCACCGCGTCGCCCTCTCACCGATCAATTGATGATGACCCGCGCGCCAGAATTACATTCATCCTGCCATCTCTTTTCTTCTTACTGTCCTCTCCGCTTCACCCCTTCTTACATTTCCTACTTCTCCTCTTCTCACACCCCTCCCAACACATCAGCTGCGTTATACTCCTCTGCCACCGTTCTCATTTTATTAATGGAACGTACTTGCGTCGGCGCGTCGCTGTATGTTATTAATGACGATTGCGTGATGTCATCTCGTCATGTTGGTTTCCGCTTTGTACTGTATACACTACACACAACACACAAACAACATTCATTTCTATATGTGTATATGAAAATATTTAATGGAATAGAAGTTTTTCACAGGCGCTCTTCCGGCTCTTTCCATCGACTATTGCTGTTAATATTGTATAAAATTATTCGCAACAATAGTAGTTCCAGAGTGTTTATTAGTTGTTTTCAAATTATTGGAAACCTCTTAAGTGAACAACTCAACATTAACAGAACTTTTTATTTTTTCAAAATAACAACAATTGCAGTGTTGATTAAACTATAATTTTGTTTATAATAAATTACTATTTCTGTCCCTGATTCAGAATCATCGCCTACATATTAGGTTATTTTGTTTATACTTCATTTTATTATATGATTGTATTTTAAAATATTGTTCATGTTTTGTATTTTTCAACATAATTTAGTTTATTAGATACATATAAAAATGTCGACATAATGCGCAAGCAATTCCGGCAGCGTCGAAGATAATACGAAAAAAAAACAAACAAAAAAAGATGCATCTTATTCTAAGTACGCTGGCTAACGATATTTTTGTTACGTTATAGTTATTATTGTGTAAAAATTACAGAAAGATTTTCGATGGCAATTATGACACGTTATTTGAATATTTAACATTTTCTAACTATTTATCCCTGAAAGAGTAATTCCAGTACAAAGTAGAAAAATAACCCAAAAAGAAAGTTTATAGAAATATGTGCTTAAAAATTGGCCCAATTATCTTTCCACTAAAAATATTACTAAGAAAATTTAATTTATTTAAATAAACGCCAAAGATGGCTTTGGTACAGCATTATAAAATAACATACCTATGACATACATTCTATATTTACCTATATAATATTAATTTATAGTAATATTTATTAAATTACAATTAAGAAGTTATAATATATAAGAATTAAGATAACCGTTAACTCATAAATATATGGAGGATACCTACAAATTAAAGAAATCAATTCCGGATTCATTTCCCATCCTTAACATTTTTTCTAAGGGATTATTATATCCATAATTAGTAAGGTGGATTTTAATATAGAATGTAGGGTAATTTCGAGAGTAATATCGAGGAACATTTAAAAAAATAGGTTCTAAAAGAGAAGATTATGTCATTTTACCATTTATTAATTTAGAAAAGAAGAAAATATCAGCTTTTTTACGACAAATAAATAAAGGACTGAGATTAAGGACATTTTGAATATCATTTATGTTATTTGTCATTTCACTAGGTATTTAATATTTTTTTTTAAATATAAATCTCAAAATCTTCTTTGTATCCTTTTGATTTTTTCAAAATAGCATGCCAAGAATGGGCACCGCCCAATAGACCTATACTCCAATATTGATCTAACCGAGGAACAGAAAAGGGTGTTAAGACAATAAATATCAATAAAAAATAAAGTAGATCTAATTAAAAATCCAAGGGTTTTTAGAGCTTTTAAACAAATTTGGTCAAGATGAGTGGGAAATAATAAATCAGATTGTAATGTAATACCAAGATTACGAATAGTAGTAACATTATATTAAGTAGTATAACATCATTAATTGAATAATAAAAGTTGATTTTCTTTTTCGTACGACAAAACGTAATTTTTGAACATTTAGAGACATTGAGCTTTATTTACAATACACCAATCAAGAAGTATATTTAGGTCTTCTTGCAGAAAATTAAACATTAATTAAGACTAACTACATAGGTACCTACACAAATTAATAAATGTATGATAATATTTTTTATTCAATAAAATTAAACATAAAACATCGATTATAATTGAATTTAATGTTTATTAAATTCACCTCGATATATTTTAAGATCAGAAAGTTGAAGATTCAGTCACATGTTTTGCTCAAAAACTTGAATAATAAAAATAATTGTTAAACCAACACATCCCTCAGCTCAGAATCAATAAGTTTATTTTATGAACAAAATATATAGTTAACGTTGTAATTTACTTATGAATTAGTACCTATTTAAAATCTTATTAAAAAATGTGTCTAGACACATTTAATTAAATGTGAAACCAACTTGAAGAGTTTGGTTGGAAAAATTATATTTTTCCTTGTTTTTATAATAAATAAAAAAAAATTATCTTCTGTACTAACTTTACTTATCAGTTACACTGTAACCTAACCTACTCCAGGCTAATGACCGGCTATGTCGAAGCCTTATTTCTAATAAAAAAAAAAAAAAAAAAAAAAAAATTAACTTCCATAATTTGATGATAATGTTAATATATACAAGAAAAACGACTCAACAAATTTCATTTTTTTAAATGAATTTATATTTAATAATGGTCGGTTTATAAATTTAATACATTAGAGAGTACCTATCTACCTTTAAACCCTGTTTCTAATATATCAACCTACTCATTCAAAGTAATAAAAAAATATGTATGGTATATATTTTCTGCTAAACAAAATTTAAATAATTTCATGATTTTAACTACAAGATTGCTTCAGATGTTCAATAATCACTAACCTTAATGGTGTCGCTAAAATATCGATTTATTACTTTAAAATAATCTGAACTAAGTATGTAGAGGGTGAACAGAATTTTTAAGTTCTTTTTTTCATAATTCATTGGAATCATATTTTCAATATTATTTATATTTGTAAATAATAACAATTAATATATTTCATGACTATAAATGTTTAGATTTTACTGAAATTTAGTAAATATATGATAACAAATGTTCTTATAACGTCTCATTCTATCATCTAATCCAACGACTAAACATTTAAAATTCCAAATTATTTGTCCCACGACCCTATGCACAAGCCGGCCGCTGACTTCGTTTCTTCACTTGAACAGTAAGAAGAGTATAGAAAGTTATAGTTATTATGATACAAACAAGTAACAATAACGGTTTAGAACATACCTATACAGTAGCGTAGTGGGAGGATTTTTGGCTGATTAACCACTCCTCTCCCACAAACACACACACCTTTGCCCTTTTCCCTATAATGTATACACACAGACTGTAAAATCTTAATTTTATTTATACTTAAACACCCTTTTATTAATCCTGGCTACACCATTAAACACATAAAATACGAAGAAAAAGAAGCAGTTAAACACTATAACAATTGACGATTGTATAAAAAATTATGCACTATTTCTCATTAAAATGTACACGACTTGTTGAAAAATACAAAGTTCCGAATTATTTATAATTCTTCTCACTCACAAAATATTGTATTTATTTATTAAAATAATCCATCTGTGCTTTAAAGTTAATTATTTAAAAACAAATGAGACATCGAAGTAACCTAGTTCTTTGATAAATTAAATAAGGATATATATTTCGATATACTGATATAGTATGATTAAACTGAAAATATGTATTCAATTATTTATATAGTTTTAACTTGTGTATTATTAACAAAAAAAAATATATTGGCAATTCTAATAATTCCTAAATATTATAATGTAATAAAATTTCAATTACAATGTAAGTAATTATTTTTACAATAAAAAAATAAATAGGATATTGCTTTTTTTTTAATTCAAACATTTTTATATTTTATGGAAATCTAATTTACCTACCTGTCAAAAAAATTATGGTAAAAAATGTAAACCATTAGTAGATTAAGTAAATAAGAGATTTCAAAATTAAGTACCGAAAAATTATTATCATACTTGATTTACAACTAAATTATTCAGTTTACTAAATACTTATTTCACAAAATTTACAATTAGGTACATAATACACAATATACATGCATAGAAACTCCTAATAACCTTGTCGGTATTTCCATAAATAGTAATGTATTGTTTAAAAATAATGTCATTTTTAATAACTATTTTAGTTGTTAGTTCAATGAAGAATAATCAATTTTCAAAAAAATGCATAAACCTTGAAAAATATTACGTTAGACACACCAAATTTGCAATTAGTTAACATTAAACATAACATCTAAAACGAAGAGTACGATTTAATTATCAATGTACTTACACGAATGCATACCTAACCTACCTATAATATGCTTGACACTAGCTACACACGGATAAGATAAATAATTAATCATATTAATATTTAAATGTTTACTTTCAAAACTTATTTGAAACTTAAAATATAGTGTTTAAAAAATAATGAGTATGACGTATGATCAGAATAAAAATTGTGCATTGATTAAAAACAAAATATTTTCGAATAATCATTATCTACACTTTAAAGTATGGTTTCTTAATAAAATTAGTATAAGTACTACTACTACCTATAGGTAGATACAATATTCATGTATAGTTGTTCAGTTGTTCTAATAATCTAATATATATATTGTAAAATTGATTGTATATTGCATATTAATATAACATTAAATAAATATTACACGTCATTATAACATATGATAAATTCCAGTGGCTAACGTTTATATTACATCGGTGATTCGGTTACAATATATTTTGTTGTATGGTCTTATACATYAGATGTACACTGGGTTTAGATCGTTTTGGCCCTATCTTTTAGTTTGATTAAAATAGGCCTGCGTTACGTAATCTTAAACGTACTCGCTGGTTAAAGAGAACAGACAATAGAACCCATAAGAGTATGTTCAGAATGAATTGTGTATAGCGTAAACCCTATTCCGCCACAATGTGACAATATTAATATTACCATACGTCAAAGACCCAGCCGAGTAACTTTACACGAATTACCCTAAACAGCGTAAGAAATAGCGGTGGTGGCAGCGTTCTCGTGCGCTTGGGTCAAAATGTGTTGTTGCAATTAAAAGTTGCGATTTTAGTTTCGAGTTTTAGCACCACAGGAAGGGAATGGATGCAACGAAAGTGCGGAGTCTAGTTATTTAAACTCCCATAGGAATTCCCCAAACTCTGTGATATAATCTCGAATCGGTTCGAAAGCCTATAAGCATTGGACAAAGTCCAAATATTCCTGTCGTTTATCCCCCCCCCCCGCCATCTGAGTTTACATCATTTACCGGAAATTCTTTTCCTTGTTAAACTCATTAAACTAAAAGACATAGATATTTATTTTAGTTAAAAGTTATTCGATAAATGAGTACTTAAACCAATTTTTTTTTGAAGTTTTATAAATTTATAAATAACTAATTATAGATTATTACTTATTAGTTATTATGGTTGAATACCAATAGTAACTGTTAAAAAATAGTTCAAATGTTGGAATTATTTTTTCGTATTATTTAATATTTACAAGTAGTACATATTCATTAAAAATATACTTATAGTTATTATAAATCATCATGTCCAATCACCTAGTGTGCAATGAAATATATTAGAACACTATCGGTCAGCTTAAATWATAATTTTATGAGCAAATTAAAAATAATATTAAAATTAAAAATAGCTTTGTAGTTTATTATTATTATGCTTAAATATTATGATCCCCAAGTTTGCTTTTTTAGTATAGTTTTATCATGAGTGATATATTATATACTCAAAAGTTATGTACCTACCTACCTACATTAATTTTCAGTTCTAAATAATCAAGTGTATTAAACTGTTTACCATAACAAAACCATCATGTTAGAGCTACATCATAAAGTTACATAATATTTATGTAATAGGTTTTAAATTTTAATCACAATTATATTTTCTGTGTAATAAACAAACATCAGATGTAGCTACATTATTATTATAGTTGACAAATTTAAAACAATATTATATGATGAGATCACAAAACGAGGTCAGATATCGAATGCCGGTTATAGCTATAAGTAGCACACAACGAAATCAATTAAGAATGGACGCATGATTTCTACGAAGAAGCTAATAAAAAAGGTGTTAGAAGCAAATAAAGTTAACAATAATATGAAAAAATCAAGTAAACTATAGAATTTAGTGCCAACACAAAAAGCATTGTATCTAGTTGTAAGTGTTGTAGCATTGTAACTACGAATCACATGGCCCCACTCAAGCTATTTTAAACATTCTAGTGTCACAACAGACATATTATTATAGAATGGTAAGTAAAATACAATTTTTTTCGGATATTGTCAGTTCTACAACATACCAAAATATGAAAAAAATAAAATGGTAAACGGCATGAATGCAAATCGTCTCGAAAAACAAATTAAAGCACATGTATGTATATACATAATCAATAAACTATAAATTGTCTGGAATTAGGATAACAAGACTGAGATAAAATAAAAAATAAATAAACACAACAGATTCATAAGACTTTTTTCTTCGGTAATAAAGAAAGATTTGACTATTTTAAAAGGTGCAGCAGACACTCAACAAAAATATATTTAGAAATGTCGATTAAATGTCTCGATTTTATTGTCGACTTAATTGAGACAATGACGATTCAACTTTTCAGATTGGGTGTTAAATCCAAAGATTGCTAAGAGAGTATTATGAGGAAAAATTATAGTATACGTTTTTGAATTAAATTTATCTGAACATATTTTCATTTTGTTTAAATTGAATTTACACATCGAGCAGTAGATAATAGATATCACAATAAATAGATTTTACCGAATATCAATTCTTGATCCCGATTTCTAACTAGTAATAAGTGAGCGAATACTATAACTATCGTCTATCTGTAATCTTTCTTTAATATCACACGGACAACGCTTTCGATACAGCAAAATATTCCTAATTATACAATATTATTAATAAATAGTAAGTATATAATATTATTATGTATCGCTAGTTATTGCTATAATGCTATATAATAATATTCTAAATTCCCATGATAAATCATAGTTATATATCTAATAGTTTCGATTTTCTTATTTTTATGTAGGTTGTTTGACAGTCAAACACGTCGTAAGTCGACGAGCATGAACGTTTTTTTTTTAAATCTTATTCGGTACTGTTGACGATAAAAACTATGTTATGAGAAAAAGTTGTTTTCCACGGACTGAAAAAGCGGTGATTCGCAATCCTTCTAAGAACCCAACTTCTAATTCCCAACCATACATAAAACTAATTATCCAATAACAACATCCACCACACCACAAATAAAACTATCATAAAAACTATGAAATATTAACACGGCGCAATGATAATATAAGTGACGTCATAAGTTATACACACTACACACGTGATATCATAATATGCTATCGTGCAGTAGCGTGTGTTGGTGATATAATAGAACGATTTTCAAATAGTTTCTGGGAAATCTTCGAGTAAAAAAAATCCAATTACGTAACTCGCGGCTGCAATGAGTCAAGCTAAGTTAAGTTAAAATGAGTCAAGTTAAGTTCATAAGGTGTTAAGTATGTGTATGTATTAGCGTTTTTATTAAACATTAATAAACGATGGCAGCTGAGGAATAGTAGTGTTCATACAGATCCTCCTCTGTTGTCGGTTTAAACGGAAAAAAAAGTTAAGTTCATAAGCGCCCGTACCAATCTAAAAAATAATATCACTATCACAATCAAAACATTGCACAGTGAACGATAATTAATCATCGTCGTAGTGAATTCATTGGAGTTATTTGGTCATATTTGTAGAGAGAAGGATATAATATTTTTATGCATTTTATCTATCTTACCCCAAAAAATGTTTGTATATATTTATATTATGGATCGTAAGTTCTTCACTTCACATACAGCCATTGTACACACATATGGAAACAAATAATTAGATAACAATTAAATATATTCTCATGCAATCATTTATACAGTTAAACAGTTAAAGATTATACGACATAACTGATAAGCATGGTCGCCCAAAAAAATAATAATATACCTCTCAGTTGTTTACTTTTATACTATAATGTCTGGCGATAACGTTCGTCATGAACACACGTTCGCGCGCACGTCCGCTCCGTTATCGCTCCTCGTAAACACTTTGAGTCCACCTAACATGGCGCCGCCTCAACCACCACAAATCCAAAAATCAAAACGGCATTTGTCCTCGCCTTCTAGTCCATAACCACAGAAGAAAAGAAAATCAAGCAATACACATCACCAAATCGATACGCGGCACTGGCCAAGGWYWCTGACGGCGAAATCGAAAATGAGGTATTTCAATCAAATGATTACATAGTAGTCTGTGAACAACTATATAAAACTAAAATCACACCTAAGCTTACCCGGTCTACGTGAAGAACGTCACCAATTTCTAAATATTCAGTAAAAAAATAATATCACTCACAGGCACAAACGATATTTCATTTAAGTCCATACCATCATTTATTATAATCCGCACCAACAACCGCATAACCTACAACATAGTTATCGATCACTTAAAAGAAACCAATGCCGAATTTCACTCTTTTCAGCCGTACTGCAAACGGCAATACAAAGCAGTAATCAGAAATCTGCATCACTCCACTATCATAACTGATATTACAAACGCCCTGGCTGAACTTGGACACTCGGCCACGCGCATGGTTAATATCAAAAAGAACCATCGTCCTTTACCACTGTTCCACGTTGAACTGGCTCTTAAAGAAAACAATAAAGAAATCTTCAAGATTACAAAACTCCTTCATTCCGCAGTATTGATTGAAAAACTACATACAAAACGCAAAAACCCGCCTCAATGCTATACATGCCAAGCATACGGTCATACGCGTAACTACTGTAGTCAGCAGCCCAGATGCGTTAAATGCGGCSAAAATCACTCAACTGATATGTGCACCAAAGATAGTAGCCTCCCGGCTAAATGTGCACTATGCTCTGGTGCACATACAGCATCATATAAAGGTTGTATCATTTACAAAAAATTGACAAATTCTTCAAACAAACCAAAAAAGGTAGTAATTCCACAACAACAAGGCACCTCACGTCATCATGCAGCGCATGCACCCCAGTCTGGTCCATCATATGTCAGTTGCCCAACAGCTGCCCAACCAACATCCAGTACTTCAAACTCAAATTCAAATTYAACGTCRAACATCTTGAATKAACTAAAAATATTATTAAATCCATTAATTTCTCTAATAACTGTAATTTTAAGCAAACTCWCARCAATATTCCCATAGCASCCATTACTTCCAATATTAAATCTCTTATCTACATCCCTCATTAAAATTATCTACAATCCCCATTCCATATTCTATTTGTAAACCGTAATCTAAACTTGTAAAAGCATGATTAATATGCTGAAACATTTAATTATTAAATAAATAAAAAATAATACTATACTAAAATATACTTAATGTAATATATTCAAACAATAGTGTTTATAATTATTATGAATAAATATTATCTTAGTGATATACAGCTAGCAAAGTAATTTGGTTTCTTCGATATTATTCTTATAAAATATATTGTAAAGTAGAGTTTCTTTTTTTTTATTATTTAAGTAATTTACAATCTATACAACATTATGTACAATGAGCAAATTTGATAATTAATATAATATAAAGCAACAGAATTTAACATTTGTGGGCAGGCACTCAGCAGCACCACCCGACCGAGAACATTTTAGATGTCGTGATATTTTTTTATAATTTTAATTTTTTAATTTTAGTAGGTCTCTAGGCCACTGTCTTTTGAGTCTTCTAATTACATTGCCAAATTAGAGTTAAATAAGTATGTGGGCTAGTTTGAAAAAAAAATACTATCGGATGTTGGTAAATACGATACCCAAGCCCACCACCTCTGTAATCGCACCACTGAGTAAATTTTTTATATTTTTTAAATATATTCTAAATCAGTTCAACTGTAAGGTTTTTAAATTTTCTAGGATCTAATCTCTTTTAATCTTTTCATGCTGTCTTGATGAGAACAATATTCCGCGAATACTTGATTATGTCACAGATTTTGACTTTAAGCTTGAAAAAGTCCAGTTACATGCTTAAACGTCCATGTCCACCACATGAAAATGCTCTGGTAGCAGATATACACTTCTTGGCTCAACAAAGACGCACTGCTTCGGTCGATATAAGGTTCATTGTATAAAATGTTGAAATATAAAAATTGAATTTTCTGAACTTGTCTAGTGAATCTCCTTTAAAATATCTCAGAGTGTTTAATCTGATATACTGCTCTTTTTAAGCCACATACACACCACCACTAATTTTATTTAGAAAATGAGTCGTTAAAACAAACTAATGACGAACTCCAATTACATGTACCCAAATTATCAAATTTAAATTTATAATTATTGAAATACATACTGCAGTTATGCTTATCAATATATTTTACCAATGCTTATTTAACCGCATATGAAATATTATAATTTATAATGTTATGTTAGGCTTACTATTATAAATGTATAACTAATAATTACAAATTGTACATAGGTACTATTTTATGTCAAAAACGGACTAACCCATTAAAATAATATTGCTAAGGAATATATAAATTTTGACCACGGCAATTTTTTAATAATGAAAAAACAACTAAATACGTAGTACAACAACTGCCATCTCCGCCACCGCCACTACTTTCGATTTTCATCTAGTGACCCCGTGGATGCATCACGCGAATAAATAATAATAATAGCCTCAGCCGTGCAACCGTAACGACTCAACGATGATGATAATGATAATGATAATTCACGTTTTCCGCTATACTCATACTATTGCGAATCCTGCCCGTTCATCATTGAAGGTAACCTTGGCGCGTGCGGCACTATAAAATGCATTTCGCCTGTGCAACAGCCATCTATTACGTAACCGACATATTGTATACTTAATAGGTAGTTATATATTATTATTATTGTACAGTGACGTCACGTTATGTTGCGATTTTGCCGTTTTGCACAGATGACGTGTCCGTGTCTCGTTAAATTCTTAAAAGTATGCATTATATTTATATGCATGCATTAATATACCCGGCTCCCACTCATTTAGTATTTATGTGATGTAGGTACCATTTGCATTGACAATTTTTTAAAAAACCAAACAAAAAAGGCAGGTAAGTCGTGGATGTCACTCTGCTGTACAGTAGGTAACAAGTGGGTTACTGTAATGGATGGAATTAAATTTGAATCCAATGATATTATATCATTGTATACGAAAAACTTTTATGAATTTCTATCTAAGATAATTTGAACATTGCCGTAATTCTTACGTATTTAGTCAAAATTTGAAATTTAAATGCTTATAAAAAAAAATCGTGCCTATGTATTTTTAATATTTTTTAACTGCTATTGTTACAATGTGTTAGAAGCCTTGTATTAAATTTTCAAGCTTTTCTACCGAACACATAAATTTTTATCGATATTTATAGAAAAAAAAACTAAAAAAGTTGAAAAATTAAAATGTCAGTTAACAGCTCAAAACAAATCTAAATATTTTGAAAATTTTATCAAATCTAGAAAACGCCTATATAAACATTCAGTGAAAATTTCAAGTATCTGCGGTCATTTGTTTTAGAGTTACACCAAAATAAAGAAATTGCTAAAAGTGAAAATCCAATGTTGTAAAAATTTAAATTTCAAATGCTCATAAAAATTTAATTTGAAATTCCAGTGGACTTTTCATTTGTGATAAAGATTGAAAAACTTTTAAGGAATCTTGTATTAAATTTTCAAATCTTAGATTTAAAAAGAAAATTTTTTATGAATTTCTAGCTTAAAATATTTTGTGAATTTTTGTGATTTTTACGTATTTTGTCAAAATTCAAACTTTGAATGCTTATAAAAAAAATTGTTATTTTTCAACTGCTATTGTAACAATATGTTAAGAGCCCTGTATTAAATTTTCAAGCCTATGAATAGTTCAACTTTAGACGAAAATTTTTGAAAATTGCATGGTGGATAGAATATACTAATATAAACATTCGGTGAAAATGTTATTTATCTATGGTCATTTGTTTTAATGTTACATAACCAAAATCGATTTTGTCGAAAAATGAGTGTGCGTAAAATTTCCCGTTTTTCCCTTAATTTTTAGTTTGTTCTCGATTATTTTGAAATTTTGAAATTTTTTACCCCCAAAGTACCAACTAGATTCACTTTTTTGATCAAACGAGGTACTGAAGTCAAAAATCGAAACATTTTTACTGCCCCAAAACGTGATGACAAACACAAAAAAAAATTAAATAAACACACAGCATGGTAAAATCAATACATTCATCGCTCCGCTCAGAATCTAAAATTACAATTAACAATCACCAGTCACCACTACGTCATAATTACCGCTATAGTTATGTTATGGTTTTTGACAATAATAAATCGCCTACATCTACCGAGTTTTGCCTAAACTTTAAATAATTGTTATAATTATTAAACGATAATATTAATAAATATTTAACAATCCAATGTTTCTAAAGAAATATTTTAAAATATCATAACTAAACTAGGGTTTATTGTAAAATTTAAATGAAAACCGTCATTTGTTTTTGCTAATATTAATTGAGAGATCTGAAACACCATAATAATCGTATCCGTTTTACTATATAACCTATATTACTGTGCAGCTAACCATAAAGTTGATTTTTTATTTTTGATGGCCAATCATTTTTCATAATATTATATTCTGTAATTAATTATACGTGGCCGATATTTTACCCAATAGAGTCATGCTACGTTAATACAACTTATTTTTTCTTTGTAACCTATCCTTAGAATAATATCGAATTGACTCGTGAAATGATATTATATATAAAATTAATTATTTTGTATATATTTAAATGTTTAAATATACTAAATAATGGTGATACGAGTATGTTATGAATACTAATTTAAAACATGTTTTATATTTAAAATTAGTAGCTATTATTTGCACCTTGTGCTACACAAAAAAAAAATATGAAATATGAAGAAAAAAAAAGGTTTGATCAAATGTATTATTAATTTTGAATCAGTTAAAATATAATAAATACTCTTTCTAATTAAATAAGATTACATAAATAATTATTTTATAAATAACAGTTACGAAGAAAAAATATATGTTATAAAAAAAAATATCCATGAATAACTGCAATATGTAAATCACAATATAATAAATATAATAACATATTTTATGATTAATTCATCAAGTAGGTACATTGTAAATATTAAAATGCGATAAATATATGATACCTACTTCGAAAATCGTTAGGAGTTTCGTAGTGATATTTTTCTATATATTCCAAATTAAAAAAAAAAAAAAATGTAGATAAATTAGAGAATTTCGTTAGCTCTGTTTGTCAGCAATTACCTATGTGTATTCCATTTTAGTCGTACGCGATCAAAATAAATAAACTATAACATGAAACAAACTTGCAAATAAATTGATGTATGTCACAACATTTTCAAGTTACTCGTAAAATGAAACGAAACACTACAACTCCGTATAGTTGATAATCGTGGCCATACTTTCATAATGTGTAGTTGAATATACAAAGAAATATTGATATTAATGAATAATGATTAATAGTCGAAAAAAAATAAGGAAGTTTAAGTGCGTAGAATAAAATAACGTCATTTTATAAAGTGGAATAAATGAAGCGGACATGATAAAGTATATTGAGTATAAGCTTCGTGAAGAAAACAGATTAATGCAGGGATTAATGGCGGATGTATTTAAATATGACGATACAAATATAAATTGACAAAATACAGCGTCGGTTAATAAAAATATAATTTAATACGTCCTTATACTGAAGACTTTATCATTAAATATTGTTGTCGGTGAAATCTGACTTATGTTTCTATCATACTGGAAACTAAAAAAAGTGCCACTAACCATACACTCTATACATATAGAGAATATAGGCGTCACTGTTCAGTACTTATTTGGGTTTTCTTAAAAAATAGAAAAAAAATTTGGTAAAACATACTAAAGAATATTTTCAACATCAAAAAAAAACATTATATGTATAAAAATATACAAATACATACGCTATGTATATGCTATATGCTATATGCTATGTAAACGCACTACCTATTACATTATTATCATATGTTGGTAACATTCCGTTATTTCACAGATATTTATCAAATAATGTTTTTCTTTTAAATTACGGCAGAAAACAAGCAGGTATTTTCAAAAATTTGTATACCGAAAACAATTACGTATCTTAGAAAAAAATAAAATGTAAATCTGTT